ATCGATGCATCGATACAAAACGATTATTATTTACACCCCTATTTCCTCCCATCTGAGAGGGACAGTTAGTCTCAGATAGTAGAAAGATGGACAAAGTTCGATGTTCCAACAGATGTTCAAACACGTCAAATAGCTTCCAAAAAGCCCAACTATGTTTACTGTTACAATGTTTTTAAAGGGGAATCTTTAAAACCAAGCGTTTAAATAAGATCAATTAAGCTTTTTTTATCATAGGCCTAGAATTTGGCTAGAAGCTTTTTGATGGATAGAAGGAGCTGTTGGTTTTAAGTTAGGAATTTTAGGTTTTATAAATACATTTTCACCATGTCTGCACTAGTTGTAAAAGCCTTAATACAATACATTTTACATCAAATTCTTGATTTTCCAAAATGATTGAAGCCGTACCTTGTATTTTCTGGCCTCCCTTATAAAAAAAGAAGCTCATATAAATCATGAAATTTCCCCAAGATATGGTGGTTTAGAAGTTAGTTTTTAGCAGTAAAATCCAGACTGTTTTCATTATTTGGAATTATTTTTTACCTTTTCCTTTGACTCCAAATTTTCTGGCCCCTGTAGACGCAACACGCCCTACAAGACGCTGGAGCCAGTGAAGCCGCCGACGGTACCCAACGACTACATGACCAGTCCCGCTCGACTGAACAGCCAACACGGCCAGCAGAACAGCCCCGGACGCACAGCGTCGCTCAACCAGAGGCAACGCACGCACAGGTACATGACACAAGGACGGGTAGAGGGAGAAAAACCTGAGGAGGACTGAAAAGACTATTAGGTTCCCCTGTGAATGAGAATCGTTGCATCTTAGATCCTCAGAAGCATAAAATAAATACATGATAAATTAGACTTAAGCACTAAGCAGGAGTGGGAAGCAGTTTCTTTCAGCAAACACTTGGTGTAAACCGTTTTAGGGTTTGAATGTTCAACATAACTATTGCTGTTTTGTTTTCTGTGTATGATGTAGTTATCGAAGGTGCTGAGTTAGACTTTTTATATCTCTGAATAAAGCATTTTCCTTTGAAACTTTCCTGATTCAACTATATATATATATATATATATACTCCATAGTGTAGAAAAGAACAAGTACATGTTTTGACACAATCTGAGTTAACGTGAGCCCAAAAAACTTTCTCTATTTAATAAAAATAGAAATGTAGCCAGGGTTTCACTGCTGTGTGAAAAACATCTCCATGTCAGGAAGTTTTAATCTCTTCATTTGCCTCTGCAGCTTAGTTCCCTTCTCACCTCTTTTCCCTTTTTTCCTCCTCATCTGCTGCACTAAATCCTGTATTTGTCTGACAAGGCTTGGAGTGGCTTTTACCGCGGCCAGAATCGCTCCGATATTAATATCTGTAAAAGCCTCAGATGCGAAACGCTATTTGATATGAAAGAATAAAACTAATGCAGCGTGCACACCCTCGAACGCTGCAGCTCGCCCTGGAAAGACAGCTGCACTTTCATTAAAATTTGACTTATGAGTGAAAGAATTCATCTCATTAGCTAAAAAGCTGCTTATGCTGACTGCGATGCTAATAAATACCGCACTACTCATTTTCTTTAATCCATCCCTCTCGTTCTTCTCCTGACTTCACATTTTTTTCATGATGAACAGAACAAATGTGTAAAACTGCTGTCTGTTCAGCCTGAAGCTGCTGTAGCTTCCATTTAAAAGCCTGCTGCAGCTAATATAACCGTGCTAGGGCTATTTGATTATTCTGGCTTGAGGTCTGTTGGGCTTATTCCCCTCATCAGTCTCAGTCAGCCTCTGCTGAGTTCTGATTGAATATAAGCTCCTGGTGCACCTTAATATGAAGCGCTGGGGCCATTACAGTGTCACATAATGTTGTTTACAGAGATAAGGCGTGTTGTGGCTGCAGCAGAGACGCTGCTTGGCAGTGGCTCGGTTTCACTCCGTGTTTATCTGTAGATTCCTGCTCAGCTTACATCCTTAATGACTAAAATATTCGTATCTAGTAAATCAATTACAAGTCATAGATATCAGAATGTCCAGGCTTTAAAGAAAGAAAAACAGAAGGAAAGAGTTTTTTGTTTTGTATTTTTGCACAGAATTTCTTTTCGAGTGTTTATTTTTTCTCTTTTTTTTTTTTCCCACATCCGTAATCCGTAATCCGTAAATTTAACTACAGAAACGGATAAGATTTTGATTTAAAAAAATGAAAACAGATTTTGTTTTAGACATTAAGACAAATTTGATCTCTATCCCAACTAAATTGCAATTGAATTGGGAGTTAGCGCAATAAAAATATCAAAAAGACATAATTCCTGTATTCTATTTTATTTAAAAAGCGTGTAGCCAAAGCAGCAGCAGAACAGCTCAGGACGTCCCTGAAAATTGTATGTATCTTATAAAGAATTAAAGTTGAATGAATTAATTAATATAATGAAACTTCTCCAAGTAATGAGCAACCTAATCAGCTGTATTAATTTTCTAAATATCAAAGAAATACAATAAGAAGGGATACTTAAAGTTACTTCATAATTGTTTATGGATGACTTCATGCATCTATCTACCTTTTCTTTCATCTTTGCGCATCCATCAGGGTGTCCACCCATTTTTCCATTTCATAACCAATGCGTCTGTCAGTTTGATCCATTCATATTTCCCTTGTTTCCATCCATCCTTTCATATATCCACTTTGTCCATCTATCCATTGCTCCAGCCCGCTCTTGTGGTTTAAGTCTAATTTCTGTTGCATCAGGAAGAGCATCCGGTGTAAAAACTTAGCCAAATCTGTGTAAGGGCTATGATGACCCCTGAATAAAGGAGCATCCATCCGCTGATCAATATATTTGTCTTATCTCTATTAATATTTTTATTATGTCCATCTCTTCTTCCTTCCATCCATTTTTACATATATCCCTCTGTCAGTTATTTCCGTTATCCATCTGCTTTTCTGTTCATCTCATCTATTTAAAAAGCATTTTTCCTTTTTAATTGACATGGAGTATACAGGATTACTGGATAAAAAAAAAAGCGCAAGTTTAATGTTGACTTCAAATGGGGTGACATGCCGCTGTGGGGGCCTTTATCCCCCTCTGCCTCCTTCAGAGCGGTGACCCTGTTGTTTGTGCGTGATTGATGTCAGTCAAGTCGGGGGGGTGGGTAGCGTTGGTGGGAAAAGAGAATAAAGAGATGTAGGGGGGAGGTGGGCAGTGGTTCAGAGGGATGGAAAGAACCATGAGAGTCCAGGGAAACACGCGAGGAATCTCTTCGAAGACGATGAGGACGTGAGAGCAATGGGTCAAGCAGCGGTCAGAGGGGTGAGAGGCAGGGAGGCTCCGCTGAAGTGCAGGGATGAAAAGGGGATAGGAAGGTTTGGATGTTGGATAAGGGCAAAAAAAAAAAATACTACAAAAAACTGGGATCAAGGCCAGGCTGAAAGGGAGAGTGAGGGAGGGGGATTTAGTTTGCCAGACTGCTGATCTAAAAGCCCTGAGGTCAAAGGCAGGGTGTAACAGAGCTACGCCAGGGCTGACATACATCCTTCAATCAATGCCCTATATATCACTGAGGCCAGAGCTTACATCTAACCCTCCAATTAATCCCTTCCTAGGATTCTACTTTGAAGGCAGAAACTTTACCGTTAGCTCTTTAACTGCTTTACTGAATTGTTGTTTTAGAGTAATTAGATGTGCAAAAGAAAAAATACTTTTAGTCCAAATTCATTTATAGCCATTCTGCTTCATTATAAAGCGGTGAAAATTGACTTTATATTTTTGGTATTCTTTAGGTGGAGTGATGTTTCTGCGCTGCAAAAACATTTTTAAAGATGAAAAATAGAAGTAGTCTGAATTAAACAATATCTTTTATTCATCTTTTCCTTAGTGGAAGCAGTGGGGGCAGCAGCAGCAGGGAGAACAGCGGCAGCGGGATCGGCATTCCCATCGCCGTGCCTACGCCCTCCATCCCAAACTCTGGACCAGGTGAGCAAGGCAGCAGCTGTAGCACAGGTCAAATCGTCTCGTTCTCATTTCTGTAGTGTAGCCTAAAAAATAAACACCAGATTGTAAAATAAAACGGTTACAATCTGGTGTTTTTCTCTCCTGTAAGAGTGTTTTAGGTCTATACTAAAGACTTTAACCTATAAAGGTATGAATTGACCTATTTTAAATATAACTTTGTACAACACAAAGCTTGTGTTAAGCAGACGGGGATTATTAAGAACCGTGGTGTTCTGGGCACAGCTGGTTCCCTATTCTACTGTATAAATAGGCCAAGCTGTGAGAGGCCTTCTACTTTACATATTAAAGGACCACAGAACTGCCTGGTCAGGATCATCAAACACACATCAAACAGGTGCTTCTCCACAGGGTAAAATATCATTAAAAGGCTCATTTGTTTAATTCCATTCAATTATGAGCTCAAATTCTACACAACATACACTGATTGATATATTTGTGTTAATATTTATGATTAAAACCATTTTCTAGGTTTGGAAAATGAATAAAGGAAAGGTTTTACTGAATACTCTGTCCATTTAAGGCATTGCAGAGTTTATGGACTCAGTGCTTGGTCCCGGCAGGAATGATTGCATCAGTTAATGAGACCCAGATTGGGTTAATGTCAGCCGCCAGCTCATATGCGGTGTTGGATCTGGTGTCATTTTCCTCGTAGACAGTGCTACCTAGGTTCTCTTTGTGGTTTAGCTCTGGTCTGTTACCATGGTGATTAATTTTAACTTATTATTTATACTTTTGGCAATGTAGGCAGGGGGGTCCTGATGGGAACTAAAAAAAAACAAACAAACAAGCCAATGGAGGAAAGCATGAAATTCAAAATGTATCTTAGAGGCTTGCTGTTTTCAGGCTATTTTCTGGAACTAAGCATATTAACAGAAAGTTAAGTGGAAGGAAAAACTGTGGTAAAAAGTGGTACATTGTTTTCATTATTCCTCATGCAGCTCTGATCATGCATTTTTGGCTCTGAAACATTGAATCCAAAAGGAATCACAAAATGAACAGTTTCCCTTCCACTAATTCTCCACTGATAGGGTTAGAGCCTCCTTCCTTAGGAATGGTGTTTTGTGGCTAGGCCACCTTGTGGATGACTGGATGTGTAGTCCACAACATGGTCAAAACATCTATAACACGTAATAATTCTTATTCTTTTGTTCTGAGGATCTTCTGTATATTTTTTGTTCTTATATCTGTTGGGGCTAATCATCAGAACAAAGTTTTTGAAATGAATTAATGAAATGAAATGTCTTTTCATTGATATTCTAACTTATGAACATGCATCTATTGTTTGGAATTACACCATGAACCGATGCACGCCGGGTTTCTGTGGAGAAGGCAACATTTTTGTAGGTTTCTACCGCAGAATTGGCTCTACGCTGTAAGCCGGTTGCCATGGAAACGCTCCCTCTCCCCACAGCGAAGCGTTCTCCTCCTCTGCCTCTAGAGTGGTTCTGATGTTATGTAACAGAGGGGCAGAGGTTCCTCTCTCTCTCTCTCCGCTCCCGCGTCCATTAATGCTAATCCTTCTTTCAGTCTCGCCCATATCGGCTCCTCCGGGAGCCCCTCCACCCCCACCTCCTCCTCCTCCTCCTCCTCCACCACCTCCTGGTGTACCTCCACCTGCTCCTCCCTTGGTTGGGATGGCGCCACCGGCACCACCTCCACCCCCTCCTCCTCCTGCCATAGGTGAGACTCATCGACTCCAGGACTGCTTCCGTCGTTTGTCTGGTGGTGGAATCAAGGCTGGGCCTCTGCTGGAAGACATTTCTAAACACTGGGTGGTGCTGGTGTGGGGGATCTTCTGTCTGTACGCACTCCAAGCAAAGAGTTTAATCTGTGGTGTTTTCTAATGACATTATATAATCTGATGAAGTAAAAGAGATGTTTACTTCCATATTTAATTAGGTGCAGAGAACATCCCAACTGCTGGTAAACTTGGTGAAATCAGCCAATCATATTTATGCTTCTCTCTTTTAAAAGTCACATTTTCTTTTTACATGAAGCGATGTCTCCTGTGGTGGTGGTTGTTTTAATTAATCATTCCTTGCTGATTAATTATTCAATACATGCTTTCCAAAAGCCTCCATGTTCTTTGTACTGCTGTCAAAAATTCTGGGTTTTTCATTGGGATGTTATGTGGCAAAGTTATGTGACTTATTAAGACTTATTCTGACAGAAGGAAGAAGAGGCTTGGTTGTTCACAGGAAAAAAGAAGAATAAACCCCCAAAACATGCTGTTATGGTGGCAGAAATGTTGCCCAACACGATATGAAGTTTAAAACCTGCACTGCACATTGGTTTTTACACCCTTCCCCACAACAACACACGTTGGTGGCAGCATCATGCTATAGGATTTTTTTTTTTTTGTCAGATTCAATTAACGGCTTTGTAAAGATAGATCCTATAAAACTGGAGGGTTTAAACTATGTGGCAATTATAAAGTACTTAAAGTATCTAATGTAGCGAGGGTTTGTTTTGAATAAATTTCTTAAAGGACCAAATCTTTCTCTAAAATACTGCTCCAGCTTTTTTTGGAGTATGTCATCACTTTTACAAATCTACAGAGTAAAATGTCTGCCTGTTGTTTTTCTTAATTGGCAAAAAAAGAGCTGGTCTGTCTTTGTCCCACAGGATGATGCTACCACCACCATGCTAACCAAATGGGTGTGTTTAGAGTGATGTGCTTTGTTTTCTGACACTTCCCGACTGTCTGTCGGATTATCATAAGCCC